AGGTATACCTATGATGGAAATTACAGGCCTGTCTCATCTTTTTAAGTGGGAGAACTTGCACAATTGGTGGCTGACTAAATACTTTTTTGCCCCACTGTAACTGTTTAGATAAAAATCTAGGAAATAACCAAATCATGTTTCTAATTTATATCAATTAAAAATTATATTTATGATATAAATCTGTGCAAAGACTAGTACTATACATTATTCTGGTCATCATACTTTTATTTCAGCATGGTCTGAAATGTAAGCATATAGGACCTGACAACAACTTGCACAAGAAACCACCATCTGCCAATACTCTAAATTCCATGGAAGAAAATAATAATAAATAATGACAATAATAAATGTGCTAAGAATAATTTCTTTTAAATTAAGCATTGCATTCTCTTACCTGCAGTATTACTGGGTCGACAGGATTTGTAGAGCTTCGAAGAATCACACTTGCCAGGACACTACACAGATTGTAAGCATACTGAAGGGCTTCCCTGGTTTCATTATCTAGAACTAATAAGTAACATACATACAATAAAATGCAAGACATATATCTAGACAAACTGAACAAATTGGAAGATCTTTCAGAAATGAGCCTGAACAAAATTATTTATACTTTCCCATAACCATTTCCATCTTAACCATAACCATTGTACATATACATATATTCAAGATACAAACTAACTAAATTTAGCAAACCAAAAACATTTCCACTGTTTTTCTATTTCAAACGTTATATTTTGGGGACAATTCATTTCTGATGCAAGTGTGAACATCACTTCTTGTCCCATGTGGGCTTTATATGTTCCCAAAGTTTATCATATTTGTAAAGAAATAAATGACATTGCACAGAATATAAGTTACAAATAGTATATTGCATGCTAATATTAAAATCACCATGTTCATTTTGCATTATTATTCTTACAAGAATTAAACTGTTGTGCCGTAAACCCTTGCAATAAATTATTATTTTTAATCCTTATCCAAGGAAGTGTGGTTCTAATAACAAGTGAACTCTCTTTTAATTAAAATTTTAATACGACACCCAGCCTATTAAAAAAATCAGAAATTAGAGCCATCTATAAGATTATACCACATCTCTTTCCAGCTATGAAGCAAGATGTATATGCAACTCAAATACTTCTAAATCTTACCTAACTGAGAAAGCAAGCCTACTACATTCAAGGTTAATAGAGGGCTTAGATTTGGGTCCTCAATAAGTTCTACTAAGCAGTTCAGGCATTCACTTGGTAAAATATGGTTTGATGCAAAAAATTTTGTCAACTTCAATCCTGAGATAACCTGAAGAAAATAAGACAAGTGTTAGCTGAAACTTAAAATACAGGACTATTAAGACTCTTAAGCTAATAGACGATCAAGTATATATAATGACCTTACAAAGACTTACACAGTCTTACCTATTTCTAATAAAACAAATAGAAATTAATTATTCAGGTGGCAGAACCTGATATATGTGTATATACAAGCATATATTTAGCCAGGCAGAATTGAATTTGATTAGTATTTTTGATAAGGAATTTCCAGCAAATCCTAAGGCTGTAGGCTAGACTGAAAAGGTAAACAAATCTTGGAAGAAAGAACGGCAAACCTTATCTGTATTGTTGCCAAGAAAATTGCATGGGCATGTCTATGAAGTCACCGTGAATCAAGCTCTGCTTGAGAAACTCTAGTTTTTGTCTTATTTGCCTCTCTTTTGTACATTGACTGGTTGCTTAAAATAGTTTGAAATTATTTTCTTATGTAACAACATCAACAAAGCAATATTTGTTTCAAAACTACAATAGGTGGATGCGAATCACAATATGTAGAGATAAAATGTTTATTGCTAACAATTGCTTCTAAAGTTCTTATTGGTCATGTTTACAATTAAACAAAATACAGTATGACTTAGAATATACTGAATATTAGTGGTCAGTATTTATAATATCTGTCCTCTTTCTTGATCCAGAAAGGATACACAGCATACAAACAAAACAACAAAACAAAAATAAATAGGAACTAAGTAAAAATATTTGTCATTAATATTTTATTGCACTTTTAATAAAACGAGAAAACTATAACTGCAACAAGAAAACACTAAAACTTTTTTTTAAAATTAAACTCCACAACTTTAACCTGAATGATATTTGATGTTTACTTCATCCCACAAAAAGGGATTATATTTTCATTTCCAATGCTCATAGAACTTATTTTAGATTGGATTATTTTCTGATTTCCTTTTCTTTGCTTGATAATATTTTAGATTCAAAAATTAATCCTTTTGTAATCTCAGATCATGCTTCAATTTCATTAACATTTCATTTCAAATATATTTTGTCAATTACCGGTAGGTGGTATTTTAATATTTCTTTGGCACAGGACTTTTTTTTACTATATTAAACAACAAACTTGACAATTTTTTAATGTAATTGAAATTCTACTAGCCCTCTGGCTGTTTGGGATACATACTGTATAGAAATTTGATTAAAGAATGTTTACTTGCATACACAAGGAACCGCCACAGAGCAGACTTATAATGCATTCTTGTCAGCGAAGTTGTAATATTGAGAAACTGGTAAAAAAGCTAGTAAATTATTAGCACATCATTTAAAGCAAGTGAAACAACAAAATATAATTTCTGAAACTTTAAGAAATGATGGACTATGAATCACAGAGACTGAATCTATTAATTTTACATTTTTTCCCAATTCAATAATTCAAGAATATTCTGGATCAACATCAAATGGGTAATGAAACTGATATTTAATCAGGGCATTTGGAAGCAGCTTTGAAACTTCATGAGATATTAGACCAACTTAATTGATGAAGAACAGGAAAACCCTGGACTCGGATGGCTTTCTTGCTAAATGGTATAAATCTTTCATATACTTGATAACCTCAATATTATTAGACGTCTATAAAGAATCATTTAAATCTGGTAAATTCTCTTCATCTTTTTATGAGGCTTATGAAACACTGATTTTTAAATTGAGTAAACATTCTAAATTCTGGGCCAGTTATAGCCTCATATCATTTATATATATGTGCGTGTGTGTGCGTGTGTGTGTGTATATACACATACACACACACACAAATTAAGATATTAACTTTTTTTTGGCTAGGCAATTGCAGAATGTTATTGTATATAATTCAACCATCTCAGTTCAGTTTTATTAAAAATAGATGTCAGCTAATTTACATTTATTAATAGATGTTATGGATACAACTCAACAGAGGTTAGATTCTGATGCATTAATATCTTTAGAAACTGAAAAACATTTTTGATATGATACAGATAAATTTTCTAAAGCAAGTTATGTATAGATATGGATTTCCACCTTCTTTTATTAAATGTATTGCAATTTACTATTTGCAACCAATAGCAAGAGTAATAACAAATTAGCTAATTTCTGGACCAACTGAATTATAGCATGGCACCTGTCAGGGTTGTCCACTTTCTCTGTTGGCTTTTAATTTAATTCTGTTATTGTTAAATGCCATTAGCAATTTGATTTAGGCAATCTGTCAGCCCTCCAAGGTAGACCAAACTTGGAAATCAAAGTCACACAAGCTAATACTACTTTTATTATAAGGTTATTGTGACAGAATCTTGCAAGTCTAAATGCACTTCCCCACTCCCTCCCCTTATCTTCATGAAAACTAGGGAGACTAATGTCTGAGATGCTTTCTCAAATTACATTTCTTCCCTGGACTCAGA